AAAAAACATGTGAATGGCATCCATGTCATGGTGAATGTTATCACACGATGACATGACGTGTGAAAAGAAGTCAATGAATCGATAGTTGCATTAACCAACTTACCTGCAAAGTCAGAATAAGGATAATCTCCTTGTGCCAAAATTCTATCCACAATAATCATGTTCTCAATGAGACAGTCATGTGAATCATAGACTGTGAAACCAACGAGGACATACCTTTTAGCACCTTACACCTTACACTTTAGTGCCGTTTGCAATGGCACGTAGTCCCAAAAAGGAGATACAAATAGCACTTAACACTGGAGTGCCAAATGCAAACAGCACCTGACACTTGAGTGCCGAGTGTCATCAGCACCTGTATATTTTTTAATTTATTTAAATATTATTTTGAAATTACAAACCTCCGTCTTCACGGTTGTGAGCAACGGGCCTCAAAATTCTCTTCACTACACAATCATCATCGAGTATAGGAAACAGCATCACGAACGCAATTTTTGGACAATTCGTCTGACAACGACAATACCAAATGATCATCTACGAAATTTAGTTTATGGAGGGAAGAATAGACTCACGCTCATTTTCTAAGGTGAAGCGTTGTGAGGCAAGTGGTTCAAATAATGTTCCACCGTTCAGCACCTGTTTTCTGAGTTGATGTTGCGCCATACAACACGGCGTTGAAAGAGATTGAGATGAAGTTGTCGAACAGGATGTCAGAGCTTGCTGAATGAACTTGAGAGACGATTTATGTTGAGGAAAAACACTTGCAGTACATGTAGGAAAACATTTTCATTTGGTTCAACAGGGGAGTGAAACTTGCCAGCTTTTCTTCATAGTGACATGTACTTTTGTTCAATTGTTACAAAAACGGTGAGAAGAACAAGAGAATGGTGCTCAACACTGTTGTTGGCTGATGTAATCGAATTTGAGTGATTTGGGAATGACGGTAACAGCAAAAGTCAAGCTGAAGCAATCAGAAGGGTACAATTAAGGGAACTGGAATCAGTTTTTGTTTCGTAGTCATACTTCTTAACGGCTGAGTCTATCATCATGAATGAAAGGTTAACATATCATCTTTTGTGCCTCCCAACTCCTTTCATACGAAGGTCCAAGCTAACATACGAAAGGAAAGTAGATGCATGAGATTAAATCATGCCTTTTTTTTGTTTGATAGATTCGTTTGAACACGAAGTAGAATGGTTAGGTTCACAAACTAGTACCTCCATTTCAATCAACATCCATTTCGCACCTTACACTCAAGTGTCAAATACAAATAGCACCTTACACTCAAGTGTCAAATACAAATCACACTTCATTCATTTGGCACTCAAGTGTCAAATGCAAACAGCACTGACACTAAGTGTAAGGTGTAAGGTGCCAAAATATAACAACTCGAAACCAACATTGGGATTGCCACTTCCTTGACAAGAGGCTTGTCCACAACCATCACCTCTGTTACAACACGAGTGACATGCATGTCAAATGCCATCGTGATGCATCCGTGCACAAATTCGCAATTTTCATCAAAATACAGCCATATCATCACATGTCATCATGCATTCATAAATGTGTTCACTTACCTTACCACAATTCTTCTCCAAACATTGTAATTCGCTCTATAATTTCCTGCAATAATTCTTCTCTGACTTCCCCATACCCAACAATCTTCAATCAAATTGTACTGATTATCCATTTGATGATCATTGGTACCGATCCAGAACGAACCATGAAATCCACAATTTTTCACAGTACAATAATCACAGTTGTAAATGGAGCTGTCTCCTTCAAAAGTAATTCCATTCACATGAATATAGGTATCTTTACGAAACGATCTTCCAATGAACAATCCATCTTGCACAGAAACCTTTCCTGGATTTTGAGCTCGAATACGAGTGGGTGTGTTTAAACTTGTTCCTGAGGGAGGTTGTGCCGAGTTGGTTCCTTGATAATTGATAGTTCCAGTTCCAGCAGCAACAGAGTAAGTTCCGTCCAAGAGGATTAATTCATCTCCACCGGTCATGCTCGAAAATGCTTTGCTAAAGGTCTTCCATGGAGTAGAAGTGGATTGGCCATTGTTGGAATCACTTCCAGTGGGTGAAAGATAATAGGTCGCTGCAAATGCTGTTGATGAGAAAAACAAGCAGTAGAATGAATACAAGTGCACAATAATTGCCTTTGAGTGGTGACGACATGATTGTTTTTTTCTTGATGAAATCAGATGGTTTGAACGAGGCACACAGCGTGAAAAATGGATGATGTGTTTGATCGAAGGTTCCAGCAAGCTCAGCCTAGTTGCCATTTTGGGAGTAACTAGGTTGCCTGCCACAAGTCACTGTTGCTATTCGGAGCGACGCCGTGTGCAAAATCTCGAGTCAAGCGGAAACAGCCATGTCTGATCTTGATGACATTTGAGACGAGTCAAAGGAATAGCTTCTAACACGTAACCTCAATTCCTGTATTTGAGCTTGATATTTCAGTAAATGAAGCTTTAAAACTGCCTCCAAGCTTAGCCTGTATTTCAATTACTTCTTCATCTTTTTAGCATATTGTTCGAATGTTTCAGAGTCCTCAAGGTCTTGCATGGATTGACTTTGAGAAACAGCTCTAATGGAAAACGAGGAGACAATAATGTCAGAAAACACGAGCTTACTCTCATCAACAACAATAGAATGTGAACCCACTCCACCTGATCTCTTTCCTAATACATTTTCATTCTTGAGTTCATCTACTAATGTATTGAGGTTATTCATGAACCATCTTTGATCACTCGTGAGATTTCTTAACTTTCTTTCACGGTCTGTTTCGTTGTCGGCGAGTGTGGAGAAATCTGGTAAAATATGTAGCGACCATTGCTAACAGCAACGGAAATATTCTCATCTTCTAATGGTGATAATGCTTTCAACTCTTCTGTGAGAGCATGTGATTCTAATGCTATACTCACTTCATTTCTGTAAGTTGGTCTAATATAACCGAATGCATCACAATCTCTTGATGTAATTTTGAAAACTCTTTTCTGTTTGGAGAGAGCTACTGACATGCCTTCCTTGTCACTTCCAACAGAAACTATGGTGTCTTTTGAGGATTTAAATGCAGGGCATACATTATCACCCAAATAGTCATCTAGAGATACTGCCTGCTTTGTGTCAGTGGAACGGAACATGAACCACTTGTTGGAACCATTTTGGACAAAACAAACGCCTCTCACACAAATAATTTTCTTGATACCCTGGTAGAAGAAGGAATAATTGTATGTAGAAGGAATTGTGCGACTATTGCAATCATAAAATGGAGCAAGTCCTTTCTTACCAAAAACGTAAAGATAATCATTTTCTGTTCCAAACACGGTATAAAATTTTGAGGTGTCAAAACAACGAACCACATCATTATCTTGTGCAAAAAATTCGCTTTTAACGGGATAGTTGACAATTGTAATTCCATCGTCACAAACTCCATGATCATTGCTAACATACATGGAATATGATGACACCATGGTTCACATGAAGAATGATTAAAATGATTAACACACAAGTAAACAACCTTACCGTCCACTAATATACACCTTCTTGTTCTTTGTCAAAAACACGGAAAAATCTTCATTTCCACTTGCAGCCTCAACGCAATTTTCTCCATCTGTCAACGAATCGAAATACTTAATTCTCTTTGGTTTTCCAATCTTGTGTTTTGAACCAATAGCTAATTGGCCATTATCTCCACAGCCACAAGCATAGGCAAAACCTTTTTCTGATACAAAAATGGTGGAGGTGGGTCCACAAACCACTTGAACACACTTGTCCTTGTTGGACCTCATTTCCATCTCTACCATTGAATTTTTGGTAATTTCTTTCCTCTCTTTATAGTTGCCAAGTCCCAATTCTCCCAAACTATTTCTTCCGAACACATAAATTCCACCCATCTCCGTCAAGAAAATGGTAAAACCTGCTCCTCCAGTGATTTGTTTGATATAATCTCCTTCGGGCAGAAAATGGGCCACTTGCAAAAGTTTGTTCATCGTGGTAGCGTCCGAACTAGTACTACTACTTTGTTGTCTTGTTGCAGTGGTACCATTGCTTGTTGCGTTTGTTGTTGATTTTTTCCGACGTGAACGAGTGTACATGGTACTCATGGAGTCTATTGCAGCTGCTGGTGATGATGAAGTGGAAGAGTCTGCAGACTGTGCGTTCGGGTCATAGAAGCAAACCCATGATGAGCCAAAAGGAGGGTTTGAAACAATCTGTTCCTCTCCTCCTCCTTCAGCTGCATTTTTAGTCTTCTTGGTCGATGTTGTTTTCTTCAAAGTTGTTTCGGACGTTGTTGTGGATGTAGTTTTTCGTCTTGGCATTTTTTTTTTGAAATTCCAATTTCTTGAAAATTCAGGAAGTCTAAGATCTTTACAAAAACAAGAATTGATGTTTGAAAATTTAAGATCTTTACACTTAAATCAAAACTCATATTGTTCGTTAAACTTTCGAGTGAATTGCTTCTTCATGGGCTGAAAGGTTTTGAGAACAAGTTGAATTCGAAGTAGTTGTTGAACGTTCATTCTTTGAAGAGAGAAGAATCTGATTGGTCGAAGATGACAATGATTCTCCACTGCTTACGCTCACCATATTGCTACCATCTTGTTTCATGGTGATGTTACCATTTGGCTCCAATGAAAAGAGTTTTTGCTGTTTGGTATGAGTTTCTCTCCATCTTGCAAATAATACAAACACAACTCCAATAATAATGAAACTTCCTCCAAATAATACAAATGGAGAGGTTTTTTCTCCGAGGAATGCTAATCCTGTGACAAGACCAACCATGGGTGACATGGTTGAGTAAATTCCAACCATTGTTGGAGTGGTCATGGAACTGGCTTTAGTTTGAAAAACAAATTGAAAAGCTCCAAAAGGACATCCAGCATAGAATAATCCAAGAATGGACATCCAATCAATTCGTCTCCAACTAATAGGTAAGAAAAAGAATCCAACAATGACCAAAATTCCATAACCAAAAAAGAAGGACCAAAATGTGACTGAAATTGGAGGGACTCCCTTGTTCAATAATTTCTTTTGTAAGAGCAAGTAGAGAGAATTTGCCAAAGTGCTCAACATGAGACAAAAAACTCCCAATACAAATGTCACGCTTGATGTGGACGATTGTGAAAATGCTCCAGGATGATACGGATTCCAATAATGATGCAATGGATCTTCGGATGTAATCTCTGAATAGATGGCACTAAATGAATGTTGTTTGAGAAGAGCAGTGGTGAGCACCATTGCTATAGCTCCACACACCGAGGTGACAACTCCAAACAATTTGAGCCATGATTTTGGTTCATTTCCAATGAGCATTGAAAGAGAGCACGTAATAACGGCTGTGAGGGGTGACATGCTTCCGCTCACAGTTGCATTCGTGAGATAATATCCAGAGAGAAATGTAATTTGATTCATGATAATGATAAATCCACACAAGGCCAAGATTTTCGCTTGCTTTTTCTTTGGTAGTTTCCTCAAAATGGAGTCAAAGAATTTTGTGTAAAATAAATAATACCACAGCGAGTAGCATACGTAAATGACAAAATTACAGGACTCTTTGGTTGCTGATAGAGTCGATAAATAGGCTTCTCTTCTCCTTCTTAAACTCTTTTCACTCCTAAATGAATATTTTCTATCGAAATAGAGCATTAAGGGAAGCATACAAACAATCATGATTGCAATTCGAAACACTCCGAAAATAATCGGTCGTAATATTTTCATGGCGTGTGGTGACAATAAGAAAAATCCTGCAAATAAAATCAAATTCGAGGTGAGAAGTATGTGAGGCAACAAGGTCGTTCCAGCATCTGTCATGTGTTTCCAAATAGCTTGGGGAGATGTGGAATACCAATGTGCCTGATAGAAATGATGAGTATGGTGTTCTTCATCCTGTGAATGACGTTGAAAGGAACATGCATCATCATCCATGCTGTCCTTATGTGATGGATCTAATAAATTTGCAGAATCTGTACGATCGAAAAAGGACGAGTCCAAACTATTTCG